TTGTTAATTTAATTAAATTATTAAATTAAAAGTTAAACCCAACTAATCGACATTTGTTGATTAGCAGGCATATTTTAGGGGTCATTCACAAATAACGTAATCTCCGTAGTTATCTGTAGTGCATATTGGTTAGGGCGCCAAGGTATGCGAAAATGAGACATCTGTTGGGCTTTTTATAAAATATAATTTACACTGAAATGTATTGGAGACCATAAAGTACCCATAAAGCTTCCAATACATTTCAGTGTAAATTTTATTTTATAAAAAGCCCAACAGATGTCTCATTTTCGCATACCTTGGCGCCCTAACCAATATTCAGTGAAATTCTGGCGTTTGAATGAATCGTCAATTGTTTTAATGTTTTATTTATTTATAATTAATTAAATGATTAAACTATTATAATATAACAATTGTAAACATTTTACACATTCTTGTTCAAATATATTCAAAAGTGTCAGGCACATTTTGTGAATATTATTGTAATGACAACCATTTATTATAGAATAATCGTTAGAATTTCAATATTCATTATAAAGTTATAGAATATTTAATTTGTTAATAGTTATTACGATATATCAAATAATTTATAGCATTTATTTTGAAAGATTAATGCTTTTAAAAAGAGTCAATAAAAATGATTTATAAGAATATTAATATTATGTCTAATGTCTCCACAATTGTTAAAACATTGGATTTAAAACAATAATAAACCCAAAAAACCGTAAATGTTGTCAATTCATAACTTTGAAAGATTAATCAATAATTGAACAAAATTATGAAAGTTATTGTTAATCAATGATTAATTTCAAAACATTCTGTTTTCAACAATAAATTATTACAACAAAGTATTTAATGATCATTGAATGTATACATTGTCTGGAATAAAGTCTAAAGACCTGAATAAATAATACATGATCATGGTCATATGACACATTGGCTATTAATGCAATATTTCAACACTCATTACTTGTGAACATTGATTGGGGAGATTCTAATCACATGTATTTATGGAATATTACACTTTTTAAATTATAATTTGAAAATAAATTTTTTAAA